CTCCAGGCCGGGCCGCCGGTTCACTCTGAACGAGAGGCGACGTGTGTGTGCACGCTTTGAGGAAGCCTCCGCGTTTCGCCGCGCTAGACCTCGCCGATCGCGACCAGACCAACCGGACCCCGAGTCCGAGAGGCTCTTGCGGAGCCAGGAACTGCACCGAGGTAGGAGCTGCTCGTTCTGCGCTACCATGCAGTGCTCTACAGTGCTCGGAGCTCTCGGTGTCATTCGTGCTTGCACCGAAGCCTTTTTGACCCCTTCGGACGCGCAAGTCGTACTTCGCAAAGGTTTGGACGGGGCCGCCCTCACCGAGCAGCTCCGCTATATTCCGCTTACTTATGATCGCAATAAAAGCTTGCGTTCTCGGGAAAAAAATTGCAGGACCGCTCTCCGCGCCGCCGACGAGGTTGGCCGCCGCCATGTTCTCAGCTGTTCACTCGCTCCCGCAGCGAGCGCCTTCCGATAATCCTCCCCGTTCCAAAATGCGATGCGCTTTGCGCATTATGCCGTTTACATGACCGCATATTGAATGCGGCAACTGGATTCAATGCGACTAAGTCGCATTCGTGTAAACGTGGCTTATGTTCTTTTTCGACATGTATGGTGGATGTAACGATAGCGGTGGTGAACGATGGACGTTTTTGTTGGAAGATGGCGGTCGTCTTTCTGCATGTATGATTTGGTTATACCGGTGGTCCCGTGGTATAAGCGTTTTGTTGGAACGACGGCAGTCGCCTACGTCATCGGACGCAAATCATACCAGCCACACCGAATCATATCGGCAAGCAAAGTGGCTGCCAGTATAGACAGACCCGGAGCCATAGCGGTGCCGGTATCTCCAGTTATGCAGAACGCCAAACCAAACTAGCTGCATGCGTAACACAAAGAAATTACGGTGGTGTCATACCAGAACTGTACAAGCAGCAGGTTTGTTTCTTGTACGTTTTTCCAATAGGGAATCGTCACATTTATTTGCGTTTAACTCAATCCATCACGGGTCGCAGAATATTAAAAAAAAACGGTTCGAGACAAAACATTGCTATCACTTTATCATCATCTCCAAACACTTCGGTGCTTTTCAGCCATTGCACCATCTTGGCTCGCATTGCCTAAGTGAAGTCAACATTGGACTGGCTTGGCTCGTTTTTTTCCATTTCTGAACTGATGGTGGAAGGCCTCTGAGGATAACCTGTGCTTTTTAAGTAAGCTCGCCTTCACACAGTCATAGTCTGAAATTTGCTCATTTGTGAGGCTAGGCATAACTTCCGCAAATTTGCATGGCAACAGTCCCAGAAGTCCAAATGACAATGACTCTTTTGGAAAGGACATGTGTGGACAGACTCGCTCGAAATTAACGAGAAATATAGCGATCTCGTTTACAATCTTAAATAGCTGCATTAATTGTTATCTCAAATGTTTCCCTTCCGCTGGCAATATTATTAGTGCCAACGCTAAAAACTCCGCGCTTAAGCTCTAACCTTGTGAGTGCGAGCTCTTTTAAATATAGTCCGCTTGGGTTCCTATTTGTGTGGCCACACGAGCCGCTTGTAATTTTTATTTCTTTATTTCTCTCTTTCTCGGTTTCATCGCTTCTCTGCCTCTCGGGATTTTTGCCTTTGCAGCTCCTCTGCCTCTCGACTATTTTGACTCTGCAGTTCCTGGACCACCACAGCTTTTCTTTTCAAGACACCATCCCATAGATTTTGTATTTTACATTCATCGGTAGTTTTTTGTGTGTAATATAAAGCGATGTAAGCCCAACTCTTGGAATTAAAACTGCAAGTCCTCTAGCAAGCTCCAGGAGCTCCTCTTTTCTTACGTTCGGCAGATCCTCACGCGCTCAAAGTCTTTCTGAATATTCCTACTACCTCTCCACGCACAGTACGCCGCATGACTTCTAGTTGCTCTTCGAGAAAGTGTTCTTTACCGCCGCAATTATGACTTACAAGGACAACCATGGCTACATGTGGTTCCGCCACGACGAACCCACCGCTGGCCACCTCGGATTTTCGAAAACCTGCAGCAGAATTTGCACGAAATAATTTTGGAACAACATGCAGCGCAACATCGCACGATATTTCAAATCATGTCATCAGCGCCACATCATAAAAGCAAACAACAAAATCTGCAGGAGCCTTACGTCTAAATTCGCTTCCCAACTTTATCGGTCCTTTTCCGTACTCCACCACTGACAACCGCCGGGTAATTGCAGCCGTCTAATATTTCACACGCTACACAAAAGCCAAAGGCGGTAGAAGCCGTCACAACGCGCGAAGTCGCTAACATTTCTCTTTATTTCACCTTGATCCGTCATGGTGCGCTACAATACATCATCACCGATCGCGGTAGTTTTTCAGGGCCGAAGTCTTTCAATAGCCAGCCGGCAACAGCCAGGCGGCGCCGGCAAAGTGAGAGCCCACGGTCGTACCCTTTCTCGTAACTTGGCAAATGGTGAATGATAAGCCCCAGATTGCGTGCCGACGGCTTCGCAATGCGCGACGTATACGAGCGCAACGCACACATAATTCTTCGGAGCACAGGCGTGCTCCGGTGATACGCAGTCACATTCCCATTGGCCCGCCAGGGCTGTAGCTTCCACTGTACTGGCATGTTAGGCGATCACGGGTTCCTCGGATACCCACTATTTCTTGCTTCAGACATTAGGCTAAGCGGCGCCACCAGAGTAATAGCTCACGTTTGAAGAATGCAGCCGCCACTCCCAGGGATACCCAATATTTCTTGCTTCAGCCGCTAGATGGCGCCAAACCAAACAGCATTGCAGGTTGCCTAGAGCCTCGATGTCTCGCCGATTCCTTTCACAACACCACAAGTTCGTATGATTCACAAACCAACAGTCTGGTGCAACCGCCTGCCGAACTTGTTGTTGTCTGATCACAAGTGCTGCATCATCATAATCACCGCATTACACCAACCTGAAAACATTTTACAATATACATACATTATATATTGTTGGGATATAATCAACTTTATCTCTGTCCCCAATCATCTAGGTGATCAAACTGTGACCATCACCCTCGCGGAGGTCGACTGGACCCAACCGCTTTTTCGCAACTCGTCCCGCGCTACGGCTGTTCACCCCCGAAAATGATTACAGACTGACGTTACTGCTTTAGGTCTAGATAGCGCGCATTATTTTAATATTCATTTTAAACATGACCAAATTGCCCTAACCATTCATATTTAACTTTTTTTTAGAATCTTCAGATATAAAATTTTAAAAAAATAAGCGAATATGTATATCAGGGGAAATCCTTGTCTTATTGTTTTTTTGTATATATATCGTCGTTGTGGCATTTTCTGCGAGTTGAGGGCTGCCACTTCTTATATATGTTTGTTTTTTTATTAAGGAAAATAAAAAATGCATCAGTATTTTCTTATTCCTGTATCAAAAGGTTGTTCAATGTACGTATGGAGAAATATGTAACTATAAATTCATTACACGATAATTCGATTAGGTCGGTTATATAGTAACTGCGAATTGTGTATCGCGCGATGCACAAACCCATTGTTTGTCGAACAAAGTTTTGCGAAGAAATTACACTTTTGGCGGCCTAAATGTTTATGTTTTAGTTTATCGCTGTTACACAAGGTCATCAACCTATATTAAAAACTAAGTGTAATTCCAACAGACTATTCAAGGCCATGCACTTTTGCAGTCGATATCAGTTCGAAGCTTTGAGGTACTAAGAGTTTGTTTTAAACTATCACTAAACAGAAATATTGCGTCTATCGGTGGTTTCCGTTTTTTCATTAAAACTTGTGAAAGTGAGCAATAACATTTGATCTGCATAAATGCGTTAATACACAAAAAACAAGTTTCTATAGTGCAATATTTACATTCTATTTGTGTTTTAAGAGGTGCACTTGAAAACATATAGATAATAATGTTCTGATTTGTATTTTTCATAAACATTCCTAAAATTATACAAGATACGCAAGTCGCAGGACATAGAATGAAAGTTCCTATGCCATTATATATGTTTTAGGTTACTTTAATAGATTATTATATTCAATTTCACTGGACAGCTCCCGACGTAAATAAATGGTATAGTATACTGTGCATTATTTGCTACAGTCTGCGTAAATAAAACCGCCAGGGAACGGTGATTTTACTTGCATATATTTGATCATAGAACGAAAATAAAACGGCGTAAATCCCTTGTTCAAAACGGACGCTTACAATTTTTTTTCGGTTTGGGAGATTTTAAGGATTGGCTCTCTCCAGGATTAATAAAAATAGGCTCTAGCAACATCTTTTTAAAATTTCAGAGGCTTGTTTCTTAAGTGTGTTCCTTAATGCGGGAGCTGTCTGAAGGGTAAAAGAAATAGCTACATTGTGAAAATATATTACTGCCTATGTGTTTCTATGGAACTACAGCTTAACTAGATAGATCTGTTAACGTTTTGGTTTTAATTAAATGTGTATTTTTCGTGATCGTCGTCCAGCTGATATTTTAGAAAGAGGCGTCTGTATTTTAAGGGATAATAACACACTTTGTAATGAAAAAGCAGAAAGTTAAATCGTCGGTATAACTAAAAATTGTAAACACTGGATGCAATAGCGTACACAACACGTGTTGACAGGTTTGATTACTACTACAATTTGTATCTGTGGCATTTTTGGATCGTTTCGAAAAAATTTTTGTGTTAAACCCACTACACAAAGTGTATGCACTAGCAGGTCACTTGTGATATCTTGACTTTATGTATGATTAGTATAACGCTCAGCGGCACCTTAATGTGTTTTTTCAAGCAATACCACTCATGTGCTTCGGAGGAAATCGAGCCTTTATATGTAGCTGTCTTCAATTTTTAAACTACAACTGATGAAAACCATTTTAGGGAGGGGCTAAAATTTATATTTTGAAAACCGCTAGAGGTTGAGACATTATTACCACAATTAGATATATTGTAGAGTTTATTTCTAAATAATATAAATATATGCTTTAAGCATGAATTGTATATTATCCTTTTTTTTTCAGTGTACGGTTGAAAATGGAGTCTCGAGGGGGTGCAACGGAGATTGTGTATGTGTACATCACGGCAATGAACCCAATGGTATCTGCATAACCTTCACGAATTTAGGAGATTTAGGAAATCCTCTCGAAGATCCGAGCATCGATAATGCAACGCCTTTGACACAAATTTTTGCAGACGAAACATAAACAGGGAAGTAACCAAGAACTCGAAAATTTATACTGAATATGTTCAGTAGCATCGGTGATAGATGTATAATCTTTCCAATTTCTTTTCGGTTTTATGTTATGTTTACTCCTAAGAAAGCTAATAAACACCTGACTTAATGAATTGCATATGATTGCCCTGTAATATTTTTTTTAAATCTAGCCTGTGTGTTTTTTATATAAAAAGTGCGTTGACAGTTTAGTATATACATTATCCTATTGCATGGTGAACCTATAAAAATGACTTGACGCTTGATCTAATATTTTGTCATAACAATGATACAGATAATCATTACGTAGAAACAAGATAATAACATATTTAAAATAGTATTTGGATTAAAATGTTTGAAAACAAGCACAGGTTCCTCAAATATTTTATTTATTAGCAAAAGCGCACTCTTTTTTACTATGAGGAAACTATCAATTTATATATATATATATAATTTTTTAATGTAGCATTGTTTGATGGGATTTGCTTTTGGGATTCTCACGTTCGTTCTTATGGCGCTTTCCCTTTATTGTAAAGTGTCCATCACTAGGCGACCATCACAGGTGGAGTAATTGGCACAAAGAAACAATACATAAAGTAAATGCAACGATCAGATTGTCGAGATATCGACGAACAGGCACGGTGACAGAGAAAAGCTGCTTGGGTGAGAGCCTTAAAGTTGTGCGAATAAATAGGATAAATTAACGATCAATTAACACAGTGTACAAAGGTAAGGTATTTCAAGACAGTCACGTATTTATACTAACACTCTTACTTATCTACAAGAATAACAGGCTGCACTTATCTACGGAGCATAAACAATAATTGAGTATTTTATAAACGTAAACACCGGCGGATGTGGCTAAGAACAAAGCTGCGTCTAGTGGTGCATTAAATCTAACCTATCACTTTCCCGCGATGCTCGTCGGACGCATCTAGTTATATAATCTAGGAGTTATATTAAATCTAGCCATTCAATTTGCTTAATGCGATGACTAAAGATTTCAATATTTATTTATTCCGAATATCTCAAAGGAAAATTCGCATTTGTTCGATCCATTTACAGAAAAAAAAAAGCTGTGCCCGAACAATATTCATACGAATAAAAACATATACTTGATTAAAAAAAACTTGAAATGAACGTTTAATGCAGCGACCTCGTGCGGAGAAACATAAAGTAAGAAGGTGCGTGCGTACTTCGACAGAGATATAAGGACGACTGACTCAAGCAGCCATTCGGTGCTCCTTTTGTAAGCACGTGGGTATCTAGAAGTTTCCGAGCACGAAAAAAAGATATTCTCGAATCATCCCAGTTATGCCAAGAAAAACAAATATAAAAAGGACAAGCGCTGGCAAGGACTAAGCCCCAGACAGCGGCATGGAGTCGAGCACGCTGTTTACTCAGCTATTTGCACACGGCAATATTGGCGCGCGCGCAGCCGACCAGATATTCAGCGAGCTCGTGGCGTATCGAGTCAGCGCTCGGCAGTCGAAGAGTATGCACGTGCGATGGCTATCGCTCTGATAGCGAGGTGATAACGGCCGACGCCGGTCATGGTGACTGGCCTAGCTGTTTGCATCCCTGCCGACTATCGGATCGTGCTGCCGACGTTGCCGCCTGGATTCAAGGGAAAAAAAGTGAAAGCCGTTTACAACTTCCTGTAACGCCGAATTACAGCGCAGCTCTTGTGGAGGAGGATGGAAGGGTATTGAGGGGAGGGTATATCCCTTTCCCTTTTCCCCACCACGTCATCCTGCCTGCTACTCCGCCACGGGGGCCACGTGGTCTCACAGGGGCCACGTGGCCCCCGTGAGGTCACGTGACTTCAGGGGGGTCACGTGACCTCAGGGAGGGTCACGTGACCTGAGGGGGTCACGTGACCCCACGGTTACGCCGATGCCGACGGCAACGGCGTACCGGTGATGACATCATCAGTGACGTCACTGATAACATCATCAGTAACGTCATCGTGATGATGACGATGGCGATGAGGATGACGTCATCAGTGACCTTCATTGTGATGATGACGAGGGCAATGAGGATGACGTCACTGATGACATCGCTGATGACGCAATCAGTGATGTCATCGTGATGATTACGATGACAATTAAGATGACGACATCGTGATGACGTCATCAGTGACGTTACCAGTGACGACATCATCGGTGCCTTGATGACGTCATCAGTGACGTCATCGTGATGATGACGACGACGATGAGGATGAAGTCATCGTGATAACGTGATCATAATGACATCCCTGATGACGTCATCAGTGACGTCACCAGTGATGTCACGCGTACCATAATGCACCGCGCGGCTACGCCGTCGCTGACGGCGACAGCGACGCCGCTCAAGCCGGAAACGGGCGCCTAAGAGCTGCGCTCTAAAAACCAAGTCTACCATCACTGCGATGTAAACGCCAGGCCAATAAGGATCGTCGACTTCAAAAAGCCGTTGGAAAAAGCGGACCTTCGTAAGGATGTAGCAGGGCTAGATGTGTGCCAAATGGGACGCGTGTGGCTCTGCAGCTTAAAAAGTACGGCAGCGAAAGAACGACTGCTACAGCTTGGCCGGCTCACGTGAAGGGAAACCTGTGCGTCCCCGTAGACCCCCACCAGCAGGGAGTTCGGGAAAAGATACATTGGGTCCCGTTCGACGTGTCCTACGGCACTCTCCAGAAGGCGCTGGACGAGTACGGCACAGTTCACGAGGTGACCAAGGAGAAGGGGCGAGTGGAAGGCTTCGAAGACATCGAGTCGACCACCAGGATCGCTAAACTGACACTCAAGGAAGGCAAGACGCCGGAGAGCCTACCTCATCATCTAGGGCTTGAGGGGGCACGATCCTCGTTGTCGTACCCGGCCGGGCACCGCTATGCCTACGGTGCCGAAGGCAAGGTCATATACGACGCGATTGCCGTATACCTCAGTGCGGACAATGCCGTGGCTTCGGCCACGTGGCCCAAGACTGTGGACGCACGTACGCGAGTGCTGCAATCAGTCGAGCGAGCGACGAGAGATGCGACCTCATCATGAATGAGGTGGAAGCAGAGGAGGCCGCAACATCGTCGACGCCATCGGAAAGGGCACAGCAGGACAAGGCGACAGTCGAAGGACATGATGACAAGAGGTGGAGGCTACATTCCAGGACGGGAAGCGCACAGAGACGGCTCCTGAAGTCAACGAAAAAGTGGGACAGGCGACAACGACTGGAATACCTTCACCAGAGGCAGTGGCAGTGTTGGCGATGGGAAGCCCCGGTCCCGAAACAGCGGCCATCCAGTGTGAACCAGCCATGGAACTGGATCCCTCAAAGGTGAAGCGGCGACTGGACGACGAGTCTCCGAAAAATGTCGCACCCGTACAGAGTGGTCAGAGGGGGAGTTTCAGCTGATTGGAAAAAAGGGTCGCTACGTCAGCAAACTAAGGTCCTCGTCGCTGACCCGCGATGTGGGTCGGTCGCAGCGAGTACCGACCGTGGTACGGTATGACGAGAAGGGTAATCGCTGGAAGCAGGGTTTGACGCAATAAAACGGCACAACGGCACAACTAACGTCTGGTCTGCGCATAGGGACCCTTAACGTCAGGGGACTTGCGGCACGCCGCCGACAGTGTCAGCTGAGTCACCTTCTTGAGAGGGACCTAGACGTTTTTGCGGTTCAGGACACGAAGGTCGAGAGTGAAAGTCAGGCAGAGTTTTTGGTGAAACCGTTTACGTCAATGCACAATGTCTGCGTCAGCCATGCTGTAGGTAAATCAGGGGGATGCTGTCTGTTCTTGAGGAGAGCTGCTGGGCTCATCGAAGAGGATGTTGTGTCGTGTGAATCGGGAAGGCTTGTTCTCTGCGATTTTTTTTCCTAAATCAAAAGTGGAGGGTTATGTGCTTTTATGCGTCAAACGTGGAGATTGAGCGACGAGCCTTTTTTGAATGTACTGACCGATTTGTAATCAGTGACCGGTTTACGATGTTGCTGGAGACTTTAATTGTGTATGTATGCCAGAAGACCGGATAAATCAAAGACAAAATAGTGATAGGTCAATTGAAGTTTTAAATCAGGTTATTCAAGATACCGGATTCGAAGACCTGGTACCGTGTATAACACCGAGACATCGGGTCCTTTACACGCACCACCAAGGCAGAGGTCATGCCAGGCTTGACAGGGTTTATGTTTCAGCGGATTTAGTACCCCAGTATAACGATTTCGCGGTCAGTCATGTCTCGTTCAGCGATCACAGTGTGGTGAGCTTTACCTTGGGGTCAGCGTAAGAAACAATCTAGCTTTTCGGGGGAGCTGTGGAAGTTAAACGCAAAGCTCCTCGAGGACCAAGAATTGATAGGGAAAATCGAAAGTAAGCTAGGCAGACTAGAAGGCGATTCGGAAAATAACATATGTGAGGAGTGGGAACTATTTAAACACCAGGTTAAGATTGATGCGATTGAAGGAGCAACTAACATAAAGCGGGAAAAGCGAAGGGTAGAGAACGGTCTTCGACATGATTTAAAAAGGCTTTATGCAGAGGAGGAGAGAACGCCAGAAGCCGTCAACGACGACATAAGCACTATCAAAGGCACGCTTGAGAAAATATATGGGGAGAAATATAAAGCGACAATCGTTCGAGCCCGTGCGAGATACTTGATTGTCTGGGAAAACGCCAACAAAGATTTGCACTTGCGCCGGAAAAAGGTATGCTAGCTGGAACCGCATTGAAGAAATAGAGTACACAGGGGCAGTAACTCGAAATCAGGACAGTATTCAGCATGCTTTTTTGTGTATTATACACATTTGTTTGAAAAGAAAATACCATAAGAAAAGGTGCTTGATAGGGAATATCTTCCAAGTCAGCTGATGCTAGATAGCGATACCACGATGTTTTAGAAGATCCGATTAGTTTATCAGAAGTCAAAAGAGCGATAGATCACCTAAGCGTAGGCAAGTCACCGGGACCGGATGGTTTGAGCACGGCTTTCTATAAGAAGTTTAAGCCGCGGATT